AACCATGTTTATAATGATTGTTTTATACATAAATAATGATTGGCGACATAATTCGATCGAAAAATTAACTGGAATGTTTTATTTTTGGACATAAATAATAGTACCTTCTGAAAACGGACCCTCTTATGACGTAGAAACCTCATCTCGCCATAGTTAAAAGAAAATACCAAACGCCCGACGGAGACTGAGGCAACTGATATATTTACTCTTCAACTGTGATCTCGCGCTATATCACTCTGTCAGAAATCATGTATCATTCATCTCTGTCTGGAATAGTCTTGTTCCAGTATTAGGGTTTTGACGTCACATCATCGCCTCGTTTTCAGAGGTATGAAAAATCGGGGATTTCATTTTTTTTTTAAACGTTGGGAGCTTACAGCAAGAAACGGTTTGCGGTGGTGAGCTAGTTTGGGTTAGGGTCCCTTGATGGAAATTGACGTTGAAGTCATCTTAACAGGGTACGGACAGATCATAGCTGCATTCTTTTTTAATGATCTAGAGACTTTAGTTTTGTCTACTGGCATCCCTGACATTGCTATCACGTCACATCCATGGGCGCTACAGAAAATCATTCAAAATCTCAATATCAGGTATGTACAGGGTATTTACTTGTTGAGGAAGATCATATCCGATTCTATTCAAATATCAAAATTGGTATCTGGGGATTTCCGGGGTCGAAGATTATAATTATTTCGTCATAATTGGGATATTCAAGATGGACGAGTTTTGTAATGAAGATCCGATTCTATTCAAAATTGGTATCTGGGGGTTTTCTTTCAAGATGACGAATCCAATATGGCGAAAGACATTAGTTTATACCCAGCAAACACAATTATGTAAAATTGACATAAGTGTTACATAACTGACAATACGTGTTATGTAACTATGTTATGTAAGACTTACATCACTGTTATGGCGAAATGTCCGCCACAAATACTACATGATTATTACGTAACAATTATGTCACTATCTTATATATTTTTTATATAATTTCATTGCTATAAATAAGATGTTACGTATATAACAAACTGACATAAATATTACATAACATTCTCTAGATGTTATGTAAAATTTACATCCCTATTATGTAAAAATGTCAGCTACAAATATGACTCCATTTTAATAAAATATTGATGAAACTACTTGACTAATATCTGAAATGAATATCGGGATTTCACGAATAACCTCTTCACTTCACTAACTCACTTCACAGGCATATGCACATATTGATAACTAAGTACAATCATCTCAGTAGGTGATCCAAACTCTACACTCCATAATATCTATATTCTATACTGATATTACTGATGATGATATATGGTTATAGAAATGTGCATGAGAGTTGGAAGTGGGCTAGTGTGAAAAAGAAGTTATTTGGCAATTTTTGATTGTGTGGGAAAATGTAACAGAGACAGATTAGTCATAAAATGCTTGATGGTTTATTATCTCCTATATCATTCAGTATTCACTTCAATTCTCCTCATGTACAAAAAAACTCTGCTCGAAAATTTTTAAGACTTTCTGTTCCAAATATTATGCATTATAGTACACAGTATAATTGATCAGTTGCTAACTTTAAAACAAAAAAATTGTAAAAAAATTATAGACTGAATAATCTTCAAATCGAATAAAATGGAATGTCCTGAAGATGATAAAACAACATCAACTATCAAATGAAAAACATGACCTTTATTTTTCTTTGAAAATAGTGAGACCATTTATGTATACTTCAAAAGTTCAAAACATCAAAATTGTGAGTAATCAAATTATATATTTCTTCTTGATCTCCCAATTCAACCCTCCATTTAACCTCTGGTGACTAAATCAGAACCACCTTCCTGCTGGTTTATCTATCAGAGTAAGATATCGAAGGGTGTGTGATAATGATGGAGTCTGAAAAAATATTGCTTTGTTTTTCATTTTTCAAATTAAAATCTAAAATATATATTACCAGATAATGATATTTCGATTGATTTCAAATCTCTGACTTCAATGTTTCCCCTCTGCCCTTACCAGGAACATTGTGTGGCCCCTATATAGATAGTCTCTCCCATCTTTACCACCTTGAGTTTTGAAGAGATGTACCTACCTGGAAAAGTATACATTTCAGGATTCATCTTATTGGGGTTCTTCATGAACTTATTTATGAAACAAAAAATGATAATTACTGACAAAATGATTAAATTTCCATAACCAATAATAATAACTTTAATCCAGAATGTGAGGCACTTTGGGGTTTTCACTGGGGTTTTCATCAGCCATCATAATCAATCACTGGCTTTTGTTCAATTTCATATGAGAATTGGAGTTTGACCAGATTATACCTCGGATTCTATCAATACCTACCAGATTCATCATTTATTCTAGGCATATTTAAGAGGTCCAGGATAGATATGTAACTATTTCTTTCTTGTTGTTTTCACAGAGGTTAGGAAAATCTCAAGGCATGTTTGGTAAAACTGCATTTAGCATGCGATGGGTTTTTTTTTCGAAAATTTTTTTTGGTACTTACGTATTTTTGTCTGAAAAACACGAATTTGATAATGAAAATGTGAACAAACCACTATTTATCGAGATATTTCAAAAAAAAGTTCGAAATTTCGACTCCTTTTTCTCCTTGCGTTGGATGCATTTTCAGGTACTTGCTCTTCTTATTTTGTCATTGGACACTTTATATACTCATGATGTACTTCAATGACACATTTTTATACAGAAAATTCAACAGGAAATATGATTTTTATGGTGAGTTTTTCCTATTTAGTGAGCAAGCATACCAGATGACGGCCATTTTATCCATAGGCAATCCAAATACGAGATGTCAAATGTCAGTAGATTGCTTTGGAATGACATTACACACGCCATTATTTCAAATGATATTCTTCCTTCTTTTCAATAAATATGGATAAATCACAAGAAAATCATATTTCTAGTTGACTCAATAATAGAAAAAAATGTGTCTTACATTGTGATATATATAAATTGTCCAATGATGAAAAAAGAAGGGTGAATTGTTTGAAATTCAATCCAGAAGACAGGCGGAAAAGAAGGTGAAATTTGAAACTTTATAGTGAAATATCTTGATAAATAATGGTTTGTTCACATTTTCATTATCAAATTCGTGTTTTTCAGACAAAAATACGTAAGTACCAAAAAAAATTTTCGAAAAAAAAACCCATCGCATGCTAAATGCAGTTTTACCGCATGTTTTATTCTCACTCACCTCCACTTATTCTTATTTTAACACTTTTAGTTCAGTTTAATTCATCAAACACAGCAGGTAGAGACAAGAAAAACACTCGAAATAGTTATAAAATACCGAAAATGCCTTCAGTGTAGTTTGTTTATGGTCTCGTCTTCACTTATAATTATTACTCATAACCTCAAAGTAGTCGACCAATAGGAATTGGGCATGTGAGATGGGGGACCACTGCAGCGCAGAAAATTGGTGGAAACAAGAAAATCACACGGAATAGTAAGAAAATACTGAAAATGCTTTCAGTCTCCAAGTCTTCACTTATTACTTATAACCTCAGAGTGGTCACGGAGAAACGCTACAGTGCGAGAGCGAAAAATAATAATCATCGCGGTGGGGGAACATTACAGCGCGAGACCACAGGTACTGATCATCCCAACGAATATCCTTGATTGACGCAGAATCAAGTCTGCAGAAAATTTACGGCCGAGAGTCCTAGTAAAGTCATGTAGCTATCATATAAGCTTTTATATTGATATCAAATTGTCACATATCATTTCCATCATAGTTACGTTACATTTTTATATAATTATGAGGTTCACATATTTCAGAATTGTTACGGAATATTTACGTAAATATTTTATATAAATAGGAGGTTCACATATTTCAGAAGTATTATGGAATATTTACGTAAATATTCTATATAAAAAAGTTCCGTTGATTTTATATAACAGTGATGTAAATATAACAGATGTGTTTGCTGGGTATAATCATTACTCTACCACAAATAGTAAATATGTAGGATGCAAGAGTGAAATAACGTGCCTATAAGTTATACTACATATACCTACTTCTTTGTTACTTTCATCAATAAATTATTCGGAAATGACTTTTTATTTAAGGGAGACAGAAAAATCATATCGTATAACATGGGGGTAAAGTCATAGAAATCATATTATATATCAATATGATTTCTATGGGTAAAGTATATTCTATTCTTCATTTTCCTGCACATTGTACGTATTACTTCTTATCAGCCTACTTTTCGTCCTAGACGAAGTTTTATTCATAGTGTGATATTAGTCCCTCCATAAATTCTTCTCTAAGTTGGATTTCCGAAAATATATTTAGCACACATGACATCGAGTGATCGAGTACAGTAGTTTAGATACCCACATCATCGAGGTTTCCACCATTTCTCAATCATGCTCAGCTCATTCAGCTCATAGATAAGCTACTGCTCAGCTTGAAATCAGAATTCATTCAGTCAATTATTCAGTCAACCCTGGTATACAGTCTAAGAACAGTATCTTTTGGTGAAATATATTAAGCTTTCAATACACTTTATATGTTCCTTATCTCGTAAAGATTATGCTTGAGTATAGTAAACTCTGAAACTAGAGGATTGTTTATCTATATCTTGGTATTAGTTGAATCAGGAATTCCATATATGGAAATTACGTATGATACGCCAGTGACCTCAATATAACCTAAAAAACAACTAATGTCAAAAATCTAGTGTTTATCCCCAGAATTGAATGAGGATGGAACTATATAACTGTTTCACAAACGCTTTAGAGTGAGAGGAGACGAGGATCTGTCCGCGTACCCTGTTAAGATGACTTTAACGTCAATTTCCATCAAGGGACCCTAGTTTGGGTGAGGTCTATCGAATTATGAAATACAATTTTTTGTGATATAAGCCCATTGAGTATGTGATGTCATGGCACTCCAAATTTAACGTACAGAACACGCGACCTGTCAGAGATTGATGTCAGTCAGTTTTTGACATTTTGCCAAAACATAATATACTCCGATGGAAGCGATAACAAAAATCCCCGAAATGCATCAAATCCCAAGTTATCTCGTCCAAATCCACGCAGCCCGAATCACCAGCTGATAGCTGATAAAACCCCGGCTCTAATTGGATCCAGAACAAATAATAAGCGAAGCTCTTTATCGTCGTACCCGTTAAACGGCACGAATTTTAACAAGTTGCATATCAATCGAAAAAGCGGAAATTCTTATCGCATAATACCACCATGGCGAAATTCAAACGTAATACCATGACCGCATACAGAACGATTCCGCAGTTGGAACGGTGCGATCGAAGCATGTTCGGAGACCTGGTTCTCACCTGCCAGACGCCCGTACATGGGGTTCTGCCCAAGCAGGTCATCCAACCCATTCCCTACACCATGGCAGTGAGGAGGGCCTCTGTGGATTCTGTCTCTGCGACGAAGACGTCCATCATGGAGACGGAGAAGAGGAGAGCCTCGGCACTAGTGGACGAACTTCTCATAGACATTTATTATAGTGTGCACAATGGCAGTTCGGATTACAATTCCACATCTGGAAAGTCCCATAGGAGTTCTTGGGCGGAATTCGTCAATTTGCAAGATAAAGGTAAGATATAATAACAGAATCAAAACGTGCAGCTTATGGATAGAACATCAAATTCGTATCAGATAAGCTATTTAAGATTGGTATTTGAGGAAACATAAATCATCTTATAGTGTCTTTCCTAACAAATAGATATTTCCAGGTGAAACATAATGATATAATGTCCGATAAATACCTAGTAACAAATGGGACGCCTCAAGGCAGTGTACTTGGTCCATTAATTTTTCTATTATATGTGAATGATCTACCTGATAATATAAGTAATGGTGCGATATACCTTTAAGCAGACGACACTTCCATTATTCTGTCAAGTAAAACAGCGGAAGAAATGCATAACCTTGTTAACTCAGTACAACACGAATTTGATGACTGGTGTTACAAAAATAGACTTATAGTTGTTAATATGAGTAAAACTGTCTGTATGGAATTTGCAAATTCATCTCGAAGCCTACATGACTTCAATTCCATTTTCCGAAATGAATCCTTGGCTTTAACAAGTTCAACAAAATTATTAGGTACCATGATTGACTCGCATTTCACTTGGCGAGAACATATAGAATTCACATCCAAGAAATTGAATCAATCGTATTACCTCATCAAATCCCTTAAGAATAAATTAGATACCAAAGCACTGATAACAATTTATTTCGCCAAGTTCCAGTCTATTATTTACAACAACATTGCTGTCTGGGGTTTAGCAACTGAAGTGGACAGAATTTTCATAAAACATAAAGCATTACTGAGGCTAATTTTCAAACTAGACTACAGAACGTCATGTTAAGAGATTTCTCGTCAAAATAAAATATTAACTGTTGCTTGCTTGTTCATTCTAAAAACATTGACGTATATCCATGGAAACAGAAGGCAACAAGAGTCGAGATCGGAAGTCCATGATTATCATACTAGGAATAACCATATGATCCTCACCCAAAAACACCATCACGCAAAGTATAGAAAGTCTCCTATGTTTGCTGGTATCCGTCTTTTCAATATACTGCCATGCGATATAAAGACACTTTCCCCCCTAGTTTTTAAAAAACAGTTGAAAGTGTTTCTATCAGAAAAATGCTTCTACACAGTAGATGAATTTATACTTGAAGTTGGTAATGTCAGATCACTGTCATTGTAACGTTTTTAGCATGTTGTTTACTTATCTATTCTATTCTTACTTTTTTTAATATGTATTTGTTTGTTTTACATTGTGTGTCACGTGATATTTTTCTACTTGAAATTTTCTTTAATATTATATACATATATATTATACCTGACAAATATGACCTGTCCCATCTACATAATGTAGCACAAAGGACTAATAAATCTATCTATCTATCTATCTATCTATCTATCTATCTATCTAGACATTGAAGAGAACTCTCGAGTCTGTATTGAATTGGGCTTTGATAACTCTCTGCTTGAATTCACTCATCAGGGCGAATGTAACAAATAACCAATTTTAGGAGAGAGCCCAGATATCGAAATTTAAAAAATGTTTGGTGATTTCTCAGTAATTTACAGGGTGTCTCCACTAGGTCTTTACAAAATCCTACCACGTATTCCTTAGACCAAAACAATTCGATACAAGTATATTTACCCCAATATAAAGTTGTTCAGTTTGGACGCTAGACAGCTCCGAAGTTACAATTTTCAAATTGTTTTTGCTTCATAACTCTGAAATGGCTCATGATATTCTACTAAAATTTGGTATGATGGCATAGTTTCAATGGGCAATAAAAGCAATACTTCGATTATGGTGAATACCAATCCATGGGCGCACAACCTGATTTTTTCAGTAAATGAACATCAAAAACTTCTACGCCAATGGACAGAAGGGGGTTTGAATATAGAAATCAGAATGCCTAACTTGATTGAATTCGATTTCAATCAACACTGAAACGATTAACAAAAATTTCATAGAAATTGTACGAAATGTTCATAATTTTCACGTATACGACCAAAAAATGGATAGGTACAAGCAAACTGACCTCCGTACAAATTTGCTCAGTCTGGACGCTAGAAGGCTCAAGAAATAACAAAAATATAGCTGATAAGGGGCTTTCACCACCTTTCACACAGGGTTGATAGTGACGTCAATATGTGAATACATACAGTGTTGCCAGTTGAAAGGAAATGGCTGAATGACCAACCGCCCGAATATGGATATGTCTAGTGTTACGATCGTCGGACGTTATAATGTTTTTTTGAAACCAACCCAAAAGCCGTCCATTTATGTTTCAAAATCAGCACTCGAAGTTGATAAATGAACTTCAATATTTTTATTTGATGAACCATGAACCTTAACAAAATACTGAGTATGGAATTTAATTATAATGAAATTCTTATAAAGAATAATAACTTGAAGAATGATTTATTATATAACAACAACAAACAATCACAGATATCGACATTGAAAATAACTTTTTTTCTACCAATACACAATTATGTCTTGAATTCATTTTTTTTGATAAAACTGATCAGTATTCACATTGTTCTTACTTCGATATTCTCAATATAATTCAAGAGGAAAACCCACAAAAACTTATGAAACCACTATGTCATTACAATAAACTAACACTATATAATACAATTTTCTAACCCTAATCTACAGATATAATCTTACACTAAATAATACAATTTTCTAACCCCAATATATACCACCATCTTCTGCGCATCCGCACTCAATGGTTTAGACATTTTGAATAAATCGAATTTCACCTATGATCCACAATAAATCATAAACAATTCCTTGAAAGTACAAATTGTTGCAGCAATGAATAATTCCCAGAGATCAGCTGATCACAACAAATCGCTTCTAGTAATGTCAAATGAATCTGGCATCGGTGTACAGTTTTGCCAACTTAAATCGATAACGCGGTTCGCCCATTTCGAAAGTTACTAGTATATTTCGATGTGCAGTTTTGGCACGACATTGTTACCAAGTATTGCGCAACTATCAACCCAGCGTGAAAGCCCTTTAGCACATTTCAAATTTTTTCGCTAGCTAGACAGCTCAAAAATTAACAAAAAATAGCTGACAGCACATTTCAATTGAAGATCACAGGGGAAAAAGGAGGAATGTCCCAATTTAGTGAAAATCGACTTGACACCGTCATCTGATAGCCTAACCATTACATTTTTGTGTACTCGTTCGAAAATACGTTCACATGGAAAAAACGCAACTTCAAAAATGTGAAGAAAGGGGAACGTCCTCTGTTCCATTGTGATTTTAATGGGTTGTTTTCACACTGTCAAAAGGTCAAAGTAAATTCTCAGACGAATTAAAGATAAGAAAAAGAAAGAGATACGACCATCTGTTTTTCCTCTCTTGAATCCCTATAATGTTCGGGGAACATCGTCGGTACCTAGGAAGGATAGGGAGAGCAGGTAGGTATTGAGATTTTTCCAATTTTTAGAGATTATATGTTCTTGGGCAAACCGTGTTTGGCAAAAAATTCCAAAGCTTTGCCGTTCTAAGTATAATTGTGTTTTGGTGAAGAGTTGTTAGCTCGGTTGTTAGACATATTTCGAGGTTGATGACAAAAAGGTGTGGTGACTGGGCTTGTCGAGTACGTCTGAGTGATGGGAATGAAATAATGATGATTCCTACTCCTATCGCGTGGAATTTATAGAAAATGATCAAATTATAGAGATGCTAGATGTACTATATGACAATTCACCGCTCATTAGGTAGTCAGGCAAGAATGGAGGAATGTACTACAGCAGATGATTGCGAGTAAACAATCAAGTTCTTTGAGAAATGATTTGGACATTCCTCATTTTTCCCTTGAATCGTTGGACTTATTTTTAGTTTTCGATGATTTTTTTATTTAAATATGATTTTTATTTTTAGTTCTTCAACTTTATTATTGCTCATTATACTCCATCAAATGAATCAAGGTTTGATTTCAGTTTCCTCCAACTTTCAAAAAGTAAGGAGGTTTTGGAATTTGAAATGCGTTTTTCTCGAAACTTACTTTCTGTGACGTTCCCCCTTTTCCCCCTGTGGTCTTCAATTTTTCTCGACTTGTAAATCTCTGTATACGTGAAAATTTTGGAAATTCCGAACAAGTTTTATGGAATATCTGTTGAACATTTAAGTGTTGACTGATGCTTTGAATTACTAAATTTCAAATTTTTTCGAAATCATGAGAGAAATCGAATTTTTGCAAGTGTACCTTTTTTCTACCAAACAAGTTACGTAATCCAAATTTCCTATTCAGAGCCCTTTCCTTATTTATTAGAAAAAACAAGTTCAACGCCTATGGAATAATATTCATCATATTCATGATATGGGTTTTAATGCCCAATAAAATGATTTGAAATTCTTCAGAGACGTCTAGCGCCCAAACTGAGCAACTTTGTACTGAGGTAAGTTTGCTTGCATGGGATTGTAGGTTTTTGTAAAGACCCTGTATATCAACATATTTTCTGGAAATATTGCACCATTCCTTCATCGATAGGGCTTTCATTTCTTCCTCAAAATTGTTAACGGTTCAATATCGAGGAATTTTGAAATAGGACAAAAAAAATTGAATTAATCAGAAGATTCATTACTTAAAAGAGTCAAAAAGACCATCGTAAAATATCGTAAAGATAGGAAGGTAGAGGTTAGGTCAAAATGTCATTGCGAAAAACTCCATATAAGGTAAATAACAATACGAAATATATCATTATTTCGTCTAAAAACAGAATAGATTATTCATCAAATTCGGTGTAACAGCATGCCTGTTGAGTCAATTTCTGGTACCACCATATCCACAATGGGCTCATATCACAAAAAAAAATTATTTCATAATTCGATAGAACTCACCCAAACTAGCTCACCACCGCAAACCGTTTCTTGCTGTGAGCTCCCTATGTCTTATTTAATAAAAAAATATTGAAATTTCCCGATTTTTCGGACCTCTGGAAACGAAGCGATGATGTGACGTCAAAACCCTAATACTGAAACAAGACTATTCCACACATCAGAGATGAATGATATATGATTTCAGACAGAGTGAATT